TGTAAAATAAAGTTGTCCTCCGAAGAGGGGGGGTGGTGGTGGGCAATAAAAAAAATTTAAAAAAAAAGAAAAGCGACCATTAAAGTGACAGAAGGAAAGTGGCAGGTTAAGAGGACAACATGTGGCACGTACCGTGGTGGAGAAGGGGTCCGACAGAGGCAGTCTCACCTTCAACACCTCCACCATCACTTCCCTGCTCAGCTTGGTCAAGCCCAGCCTGTTCAGAATCACTCTGCAATGGTACAGCCCGGAACGCTGTACCCCAGCCTTGGTGATGATGTGGAGCTGCTCTGCGGTGGCCAAGGGCAGCTTTTGGTGGTTTCTGTAGAACTGGTAGTGCGGCTGTAGGTTTGGATCCCTGCTGTTGAGCTGGACCTGGCACCACAAGTGTAGCTGCTATCCAGTCGGAGGTGGCAGGGAGTCCTACCAGGTGGGGCATGGTCAATACCTCTGTAGAACAGTACATCCAGGGTTAGGGAGAAAGTACACAGACACAGCATTTTCCCACAATGCAACACCTTTCTCATATGCTAACATTAGAGAAGGCATACCATTGACTGGCACCTCAACGGGCAATGACTGCGATGTGTGCCACAGAAGGCCCTGCCACCAAGTGGCTCTGCACCAATAGACACCCTGGTCTTCCTTAGTGAGGCGGGATAAATGCAGGTTTGACTTCGGCTGCCTCTGTAACTCCAAGCCGTCTTTGAAGAAAGCCGCCTCTGTCACTCTCTTCTTGCCCCTGACACGGCAGGTCAGAGTGATGTCATCTCCAATTAGCAAGGGTGCTGGTGGGACCAGCAATACCACCCACCCACCTACAGGGTGACAAAGAGGTCCATGTGAGACAGATACCAAGATACTCCTCAACACACAATGGTCACCGTACCATCTGAGCTTTCCAGTGGGGTCAGCTTCATATTTTGGAATGATGTTCAGCCTTTAAGGTCCCAAAATGAGCGATTGGAGTCAAATGTCGCTCTGTCAGAAAAAAGAGTCTTGTACCTTTGCTTGTCACTGGGGCTGTACCCCAGTGTAGGGTTTGCCAGTTGTACCCTAACTGCTGGTAAATGTACCTTTTAGTCTAATTTAAGGTAGAGAAATGGAACATCCGTAAGGTAAACAACATTAATGTACCCAAAATGATACAAAAAAGTTAATCAGAGTCCATTTCTGTACATTAAAAGATACATTTACCTACAACTGTATGGTACAAATGGCAGACCCTTGAAGGTACAGCCCCAATAACAGGCAAAGGTACAAACTGGTACTCTTTTTTTTCTGACAGTGCACATACAACCTAATAACTGTAGCATATATAAAGTACTTTATCTTGGGAGTTCTAAGAGATTACGAATACATCCAGTTCATATCTGTAAGTTACTACACGCAATACACAAGTAGGTTACAACAGTAAACAAGCTTACCAGCCACGTCTATCTTCAGCGGATCGCTCTGCAGTGTGTCCTGCAGTTCGGTCTCCGTCGTGTTAGTCCTGCCTTGGCACGTGTAAAGACCACCGTCCAGAGGAAGTTTGGCTGTCAGCGTGTAAATGTCATCGTACAAGCCGAACTGTCGTATTGGCTGGCCGTTTTTGAACCACCAGTATTTCCAGTCAATCTGTTTGTTTCCAGGTATTGTGCAGAGCATGGTTGCGGTCTCTCCGACCAGCAGCTGCTGGTTGCCCCAGACCAACGTCAAGGTAGGTCTGAGTGGCTCATCTGTGCGTGGACAGGGCGAATGTAACGTCAAAGTGACGCCAGATCACAGCAAAACAACAGAACGCGATAATACACCATCTAGGTAATAAATGACATTGCTTACCTTGAGATGACTTCCGACCAATCACACCTGAAATAACTGTACACAAATTACAGAAAAACAGGTTATTAGAAAAATGTATGAAGCAAACGATAGTGACACGTACACACATATATGCACGATTAGTTCCTTTACGTACCTATAAAGAGGATAAGCGGCTGAACTGGGATCATCTTGCTGGGATCAGTGTCGACGGGGAAAGATCCTGCTTGTATTCAGGACAAGGAGCGGCGTGAAGACGATCCCGGCAGTTTCACTTTCCCAAAAAGCGTTTTTTCCCCCCGGTAACGAGTCCTGTGACTGATTGTGCAACAACTATGATTTGTTTCATTCTAGAGAAAATAAACGCAACCGATGAGCAAACATTTATACACATCTGGAGTTTCCGGTCCGAAGCGCAATTTAATCCGGCCCAATGTTATGTGAAATATCTATGTTTTAAACATTTTACAATAATTATAACAAAAATGGCCTTTCCTCAACAACCTTATGTGATGTGAAAATTCTTAAGATATTTCTGTGGTCAGCATCACAAAATCTATCTGGCACACCAATTAAAACTATAAAGGAAACAAAAAACTTGTAAACCAGTGTAATGATCGAAGACCCTTAATCCCTCTGCTGTTTTTACAGCTCTTCCAGCAAATAGATACAACTGTAATGTACAAAATTCAGCCCAAAGCCTAATGATGGAAACTGTGGCATGTGAAAAGATGCTGGGAAGATTAAATCTGCATAATGATGTTATTAAGGAACAATGGGACAGCTTTAGTAGATATATGACAGGGAAGAATAACTCAAATATGCTAAAAGACTGATAATGGGACACAAGTGTATTAGATGCCATGTTCTAACATTTATTGTTTGTTACTATGTGTTATATCACACATGCCAATTTATTGTATTTTTTTTTATTCTATTATTTTTTTAATTGCTGTATACTTTTCCTTTAATCTCTGTCTTCCTGTTAAAATCAATAAAAATTTAAATTACAAAAAAAAAAAAATTCAGCCCAAAGTATACTTGACTTATATAACCAGAATGAGATGTAACCCTGTACAGCTGAAAATATGGCAAACATTTTATGTCTGACAGCTCATCATAAAGGGCTCAGGGCTCAGGGTTTGTCTCCGATGGATCTGAATATGAAAAGTGACTATTACCATGACAGAAGAGAAGTGCACTCTCTGGTTTTCGCACAATCCACAGCAAAACACGGGTTGCAAACACATAAGTCACCAACCAACAAAAAACAAAGCTGACCAACATGTTTCTCATATAGTAAAATTAGAGAAGGCATACCATTGACTCTCACTCTAACAGGCGACGAGTAGGTTGTAGACCACATAATGTCACCCCGCCAGGTGGCTTTGCACCAGTAGACTCCCTGGTCACTCTTGGTGAGGCGGGACAAGCGCAGGTTTGGCTTGGCCTGCCTCCGCATTTCTATGTCGTCTTTATAGAAAACCACTTCGCTCACAAACTTCCTGCCCCTAACCTCGCAGGTCAGAGTGATGTCATCTCCAATCCACAAGGGTTTGGGTGGGACGTGTAATACCACCCACCCAACTACAGAGGGAGAAACACAGGTCTGTGCAAGACAGATACAAAGATACTTGCCAATGCACATCGGTCACAGTCTAGGCTGAATGACCTTGCCAGTGGGATCAGCTTCATATTTTGGAATGATGTTTAGCCTTTAACGTCCCAAAATGAGCCATAAAAAGGTTTGGAGTCACATGGTTGCACATTGCTTATGTTTCTGGACAGAAAACAGACCAGATTAATAGTTCTTGGGCTCATATGTAAAAGGTTGCAGGTTCTAAGTCTAAGTGGCTCATCTGTGTGGCTACAGGGTGAATGTAACGTTAAGTGATGCCAGATCACAGCAGAACAACAGAACTCGGTAACACAACATCTTAGTAATAAATTAAGTATCATGCTGACATTGCTTACCTTGAGATGACGACCGACCAATCAAAATTGAAATAACTGCACACAAATAACAGAAAAACAGGTGATTAGAAAAATGTATAAAGCAAACGGTAGTGACACGCACACAAATATGAACGATTAATTCCTTGATGTACCTATAAAGAGCATAAGCGGCTGAACTGGGAACATCTTGCTGGGATCAGTGTTGACGGGGAATGATACTCCTTATATTCAGTACAGGGAAAGGGGTGGAAACGTTCCCGGCAGTTAAAAAACCCCGATAACGAGTCTTATAAGCAAACATATACACATTTCCGGACCGAAGTGCACGATCGATCCACACACACATGCTTCGGCTCAGGAACATTCCTCTTGAGTCTCCCCATGGCTCCACGTGTGGTGTTTACATGTTCTCCCCATGTCATCGCGAGGGTTCACTCTGGGTTCTCCGGTTTCCCCCCACAGACCAAAAACATGCTGAGGTTTATCGGAGTTACCAAATTGCCCGTAGGTGTAAGTGGATGGTGTGTGAGTGTGTCCTGCGACGGGTAGGCGCCCCATACTGGGCTGTTCCCTGCCTTGTGCCCGTAGCTTTTGGGATAGACTCCGGACCTCCCGCGTACCTGAACATGACCAGCGGTTTCGGAAAACAGATGAAAGCTATCGATATAGCCGAAAAATGAAACACCGGAAAAACTGTGGGTGAGAGCAAAATTCTGAGTGCATTTCTTAAATCAACATTAAAAAGCACATACCAGACACCGTGTTCGGCTTATGTTCCACGCAGAAATAAAATTAATACATTTTTATGCATTTAAACGTTTATTAAACTATAAACATAAATCGAAAATAAAGTCCAAAGATTCACTATTTTACTAAATTTCCACTGCCTAAGTACGGTTAGAAAAACCGTTCATTCCAAACCAACGTCCCAAAACTCCCCCACCTTACGTAAAATAACTGCGTTACTATACTATGTTCTTAAAGTGACATGCAGCCATTCGAAACATTAAACAGAAATTAAAGTACTAAGACATTAATAAGGAAATAAAACATGACTAAATACTATAACTAACTAAATAAACTCCTAGGAGACATTTGCCCCCTACAGGATGGATGGGTAATAACAGAGAAATATGTGTTTTTTTAAGCCAGGGTTCTTCAACTCTGGACCTCGATTCCAAATCCA